GTGGACTTTCTGCCTGCAAGAGGCATTTATGCTATTTTAGCTGTTTACGTTAGGATGAGATGAACTTCACCTTGACATGACTGTTGCTCTCCCCAGCTATGGAGAGACGCCAAGCAACTTTCTCTCACATAGTTTACACTGGAGACATGCACATGATTAGGTAACCAAGCTACCTCTTAATATTCTCTTGGAGAGAATTACCTACTGCAGAGCACTCCGTTCCAGACTTGAACCCTTATTGTTTCCCTCTTCTGCACACTTTGTAATCCGCACTTTGCAATCCCTTGTAAAAAACAGGCACAAAATCAGGGCACAAAGTATTTAATTCACTGACATCATAACCTCTCAACTCCTACTGATTTAGTTACCTGCCAAAAAAAATGCCCAACCAACCAACCAACTAACCAACTCCCAAACCAGCACAGATAAAAAGTTGTGGAGCAGTACAGTGGGATGAAAGGATATGTGTTCCTGTTTCAGGGCATCCTTAACATTGCAGTGAACACATCGAACATGTAGGAACACAGACCAGGGCTTGGCATATTGGCTGTCTCACTCTCTAACTACTCTCTCTATAATGCAAGTTCTTAGATGAAAATTAATCTCCTGCACTCCCTGTAAAATTGCCTCAAGAAAACACAGGATCTGGTCCAGAATTTCTTAAGTACTATTATATGATGTCATTTCACATGGAAACACTTCCTCTATTTGCATGCCATGTTAAACATTATATTCATGAGCAGCTGGTGGCTCTCAAATCAGAACATGTGTTTACTTTAAGAGTCGTAATCTCTTAAGGTTAGTTTGCCATTATGTATTTATGGCCTCTTGGGTAACTACTGAAGGATCAAATGAACTAACAAGGTGGAAAAATATCTATTCTACATTGCATAAAGGTAAAAACAGAAGTCATGGAAGTATGGTTTCAGAACTTATGAATTACTGAACCACTTCAAATAGGATATGATGCTTTTTGATTTTTTAACAAGAAAACTGTAACAGACCTGCTTCTACAGTCTTGACTGGAGAAATGCATTCTCTTAGGACGATTTTGTTCAATGTTAACAGCATTTAGACACTGTTTTGACTGTCCAAAGGTTTTGCCTTTTTAACTTAGCAAGCGCTAAAACCAAACAAAAATCCCACACCCTGTGTATAGTAGGCTATTAATACTGATTTTGCACCATGAAATTCTGAAAATCAACCCATGTTTCTTTGCCATTTTTCATTACATCAGTAATAAAGATTTTTCAAACCCAACTGGCTACTCTTACAAATTCCTATTTCTATTCTTGTTATCCCTTTCATGACATTAATACAATCCTTCAATCTCTAGGGAAATTACACTTGTGGAATTACTTCAAATTTAATAGCAGGTTTCCATAGACATATAAACTCATCCAGTTCACATCTCCCCATGGCTTCTGCTATTGAGCAATGAGAATAAAAATTAATCAATTATGGAGGATGACTTTTCAGTGTTCAATTTGTTCATATTGGGTCCTTAATTTAAAGTGCTAGGCAAAATTTCACCTTCTCTTGCTAATTGATTTTTATCATGAATGTGATGAAAAGTACTTGATAAAAAGGGTAAAACACCTTGTTAAAAACAACAACAAAAAGATGGTAGCATAGGCCATGGCATCACCGATTCATCTTATCTTACTTTTCCACTACCTTTAAGTTTGCCTATGGAGACCATGTATAGGAAATGAGTTCAGAACCTGTGCCAATTACACCTTGGCTTCTATCTATCACAGCATCCCAATATCAGATTTTAAAGGTAATAGGTTTGTGGTAATACCTGCATACTCAAAATTAAACCCATTCAAACAATTTATTTCAAAAAAGCTTCTGGATAAAGGACAAATGGTAACGACTGCTGATCAGTGCTGGAATGGTTTGATCTAGAAGTTGAAAGCCTTCACTTGCATTGGTGCTAACTGGAAGCTTCATTTTAGAAGACATGTTAAATCAGGTGCTCATCTTTCCTGCTTGGTAAAATACTCACTATTTCTGGAGGAAACGAAAAAAGAGGAAGAAGGCAATGGAGAAGGAACAGGCAGCCCTTCTTCCATGCCTTTTTGTAAAACTTTTACCACTGTAATGTTTCACAGAATGTATCATGTCATTGAAATGTACTGGTCTTCCTTGAGTTCATCATCACACAAGGATAAGGGCAGTGTCAGTGCATCACTTATATCTCACTGCAGCCATATTTAGTTTGTGCTGGGCTTTCAGAAATAATTTTTGCCAGTAAGGCTGTTTTTATTGGATATCAAGAACGTCAAGGTAGGTCTTAATTACAGTCCCTTTATCTCAACTCCAAAGCAGTCTCTCTTTTGTTCTATTACATTCCACTGCTCTTAACCTCTGCCCATTTCCAAATTCCAGTAATTAGAACAATGTTGTAAAACATGATTTTACCTTCCATGATGCCCTACTTACCCTCAAAGGAAAAATATCATAGAATCGTAGAACAGATTGGGTTGGAAGGGACCTTCAAAGGCCATCTAGTCCAACCCCCCTGCAGTGAGCAGGGACATCTCCAACTAGATCAGGTTGCCCAGAACCACATCCAGCCTGGCCTTGAAAGTATATAATCAAGAAATGGAATTATAATCAAATCCTGAATCATTTTACACAAATAAAGCAGGCTACACTACCATAAAAATACACATGTAAGTTGTACAAACAATCAGACATCGGAGTAATCTCTTCAGAGAAGTGGTGGAATCCCCAGTGTCGGGTGTCCTAGTTGGGACACCCAACTAGGTGTCCCACAGTTGCTGGGCCATCTAGTATAGGTCATGCTTTGCCAAGAAAGGTTGGATCAGATGATCCTTGAGGTCCTTTCCAACCTTGTAATCTATGAAGTTTAAAAAAGTACCTTGGGCATGCTTTTACTAATGCACATACAGGTGTATTTGAGAACCCTTCTCATGCTTCTTCAGTATCATATGCCTACACAGTAACCTCCTGCAACTGTGACAAACAGTGCTACTTAGACCTGACAAACTTCCCTCACTGAACTTTTGACACACAACTGTCTTCTATTGTGGATCTTTTCAACAACTCAGATCTCATACACTTGTACAGGATCGCACTGTGATGTCCCTTACCCTTGGTATGCCCACATGCCTGAGAAAGCTACAGAGGAGAGCTGTGAGGACCAAGGACCATGAATTAAACCTGTGACACTATACTGCTGCCTTAAGTGTGCCATCAAATGGGACTATACCTTGAAGAGCCCATATAAGAATTAGACTCAGCAACAGACGTATATTCAGGTGGAATATATAACTATCTAGGAAAGTTGCAGGGAAGGGGGCAAAGTGAACTCCCTTAGGCAGAAACCCTCTGGTAATTCTCCTTGCTGAAGAATGAGAACACACACGACCCCAGTCCAACAAGCACTAACCCTCGTCATAATAAACCCTTAAAAGGTCACACTGGTGAATAAACAGGGAATTAATATTGGAAATCCATTCTTCAATCTGCTGTAGTAAGTCCTGTTCAGTAACTAAGATGTGAAAGTTAACAAGACTAGAAAGCATAATAATAGCAATAAGGTAATGTATTTGGCTTCCTTCCAGACCATTCTGCTTTCTCATCACGCAAGCCCAATTTATTCAGCTTCAGTTCAGACAAAAATATCCTTATGAGTACCAAGCTTGATCTCAAATAATGAGCCCTGCTAGGAGGTAAAGCATATCATTCCACACCAACATAGATTAAAGCTGGCTTGACTAAGCCTGTTCGGAGAACAAAGCAGCTACAGCCTACTGAGACACCAAGCCATCCCACCAACACCAAAACCAAAACTCTGAGCCATCATCATTAACCACCTTCTGCTATACAAAGAGTCTGGGTTGGGAAGCCTTTTTGGCAAGGACAGTTTTGAACTCTGAAGCCAGCTGTTTCTGGGAGCTTTGGCACTAACGACAACTTTTATGATGAGAGTTAAGGACTATTCTCTTCAGAAAGCCTGACACAGAAGTTGTTAATTCTCCTGTCTTCAGAAGCTTTCAAAGATTTCCAGCAAACCATAATCCAAACACAAGCTGAAATGGCCATAAACATATAAGAAAAGATTAATTTATTGCTTAACTATATCCTGCTCTGAGATAAAGCACAGTAACCTCATCTCATTTTTAAACAGACTGTCTATTGTTTTCCTGCTTAACTGGCACTAAAAGAAAATATGTTTCACTGTGTGGCCTAAAGACAGATCCTATTCAGCACAGTTAAGTATTTATTGTTTTCATCTACATGTTACAGACAAAATGCCTGATCTTAAGGCATAGCAATAAGGGTGCAAAGATCTAAAAAGCTGGCTCCTTTTGTATCTTACAGTGTGAAAAGATATCTTTTCCTATCCTGGCAACATCAAACACATACAAGGACATTTCCATGTCATTGTTCTAATTGTGGGCCACATCTCACATAAAGGTCAATCCTGCACTGATTTCTAGTGTAAGAATTTTCAATGCACACACAGAAAACCCCAATTTTAGTCAAGATTTTCCTCTAAATAATTCCGATTTCTGACACAGAGTTCTAATTATCCCTGGGACTATTCATGAATTGCAAAGGAAAAGAGGAAAACAGGTGGATTTCCAAGATTGTAAGGAAAAGTTTCTTTATGGAGAAGAATATGAGAAAAGTTTTGTAGGAATACTTTTTACATCATTTCTTCAACATTAATATGTTTACCCAAGTTTTTAACTATCAAGGAAGACTGAGAAGGCAGACACCTTAAAATTTCTGAGCCAGCTTACTTAGCTCCTGTTGTACAAACTACCAGCACTGGCACGGTCAACCTATCTCCCAAGGAGCTGGCAACAGGCTCACTTGTGATTCCAAAAATCTGGGATGCCAGGCTGAGTTCCTTAAATCTCAGAAATGTCTCGCTTACTTAAAGCTCTACTCCCTTACTTTTCCTGTGGGGTTTTTCACTTCAGTTGGGTCACAGGTCTTAAGAGTTCTAGATGACTGACCTCTTCCAGTTGGCAAGCTTTGATGACACTCTTGTATCGGTATTCATCATAGGATACACCAAAAATTATGTTTTCTTTTATTGTTCCAGGCATGATCCAGGAGACTTGAGGTGAAAAGGATATCCTTCCACTGTGTTTAATTTTACCCTGTGAAGGCTCCAATTCTCCCATTATCAGCATCAGAAGAGAAGTCTGAAAATTCATTAACACTCGGTTAATACATCTGTACAACCACAAGAAATGCTAAACAAAGGGAGAATCACTCTGCTAAGTTACTTAAATGGTACATTTGTCTTGTAAAGAGTGTCCCTATAGGTACTGATTTAATGCAGGCTGCAATTAGTGGAGATTTTCATGATACATATGGTTCTGAAAGGCCTCTGAAATGAGAGAAGCTTCATTCAGTGGGCAACATAGTTTAGTGTGTGGTGTCCCTGCTCATGGCAGGGGGCTTGGAACTAGATGATCTTAAGGTCCTTTCCAACCCTAACTATTCTATGATTCTATGAGTCTATGATCTTGAAAAAAGACATGCTGCTGCAAAAGTATGTATTATTATATGTAATAATATATTTTTTATTAACCTTACAGGTTAATCAAACAAGGTAAAAATGTAAGTGTATATGAGACACATACAGACATAAGTTATTAATATTTATGGAGAATGTTATTTGATTTTTAATGTTGTCAGTAGCTATTTTGTTTGTTCTTTGTACACGACAATTAACATTTACAATTTCACTAGTGTTCATAAGCCTTTTATCTGTATTGCCTTGAAAAATGCAATTTCTTTGTGTATGTCTACACAATTACTCACAAACTGCTCAGTGTGATCTGAATTTTCCTCTATATCTTTTAACTCATTTACGTGAATACATGACCTAAGCGTATTTACTATTTCCCTTCATAAAAGAATTGATTGTAATTTCAGTACTGACATGTTATAATTTCAAAGTTAATCAGTAGCTTGTAGTAACCTTGTCACACATCACTGACTACTAGATCAAAGCATAGAATTGAGAAATACAAGGAAAAATATGTTACAGAGCCATTCCAGTGGTGTTCTTATCACTAATAAACAGTCAGCAAAGCTGGGACGTAACAGCCAAAGATCTAAATATCTGTCTAAGTCACAGTTTAATGCTGTCAAGCCCAAAGTTCCTTTGACAAGTTATACAATATGCAGTGGGAGTCTCACAAGATTCTTTCCAGTAATATCAGAATCTAACTTTTCCAAAATGCTGAATAAGAAGTTTCTGATCTTGCAAAGGACAGATGCTTAGTATGTGTTTAACACTGGATGTTAAACTACTGTATCTGATGCCACATAACATAAACGGAAAAAAACCAAAACAAAACCACCAAATCCAACCCTATCTGATACTGAAGCAGTATTAAAGAGCTGATGTCAGGCTTCATACCTGTTATAGATAAAGTAAGTGTGCAGTCTGTTTCACAGGCCTGACAGTTCCTGGCATATACAGTAACAGCCTTAAGCAACATGAAGGAAGCCATAAACTAAGAGGATGTAAAGGAATGAGAATATGGTTGGGTTTTTTTTTTGGGGGGGAGGAGGGTATGGATCCTGTTTGGAGTTTTGAAAAATCTTTCAGATAATATTACAAGCCTTTTATCTTTATTGCCTTGAAAAGTGCAAATTTGCTGTATGTATATACTCAAATTCCTCAATTTCCTAAGTAGCTGAATAAAGCAGATACACATATGTCCTTCAGCACTTTCTAGCTGATACTTTCATATTACACGTATCAGCCTTAGCAACATAACAAAACTGATTTTTGCTGATATCTTAGCAAAAGATCAGCAACGCAGCAAAACTATTCTGTTAATTCAGAAGTATCACAGTAAAATGCACCTCAACATACCAGCTTGAGGGCAACCTCATATCCTGAGTCCCTTGCTCTTTCCTATTGGTATCACTACTGAAAAATAATATAGAAGCCTTGATCATATTGTATTGAAATTGATGGGTCTTTTACCATTGATTACAACAGAAGAAAGATTTTACTCCATGCAAGGAAATCAGAATATATTCACCAACAATTTGCTCAATCCAAAAAGTCCAAACACATGAATGTTTGTTTCGACTTTCACATCTCCTCAGAAAACACAGTGAAGATGAAAGATTCATCTAATTACTTGCTTTTTGAAGTTAATAAGAGTATCACAGTTCAACTCATTTTATATTAATGAGGTTAGTCAAATGTGTTATCTGCAAACTAAATGTATTGCTATCATTTTAGGATTCTAAAATGATGACTAATCTAAACCACAACTTTTCTTGGAAAACCACCAGTTTCCACAGCACCTCCCCCAGGATTCACATGAGACTCGGGGAGCCTGTCTGAGTGAGGCACTGCAGGAATATACTTCTCATACCTTTTCCTACAGCTATCATGTTTACAGTGAGCAGAGGACAGCAAGAATATAGTAATACAGGTATCATTACAGCTAACAACACAGTAGTATTTCTTAAAATTATTAGGACTGTTGTTGAAAAAACAAAAATAGAAATACCTTGCCTGCTCCAGTAGAACCAGAAACAGCTAATAACTGTCCCTTCTCAATCTTGAAATTTATATCCTGAAGAACAGGAGAGGCATGAAGTGGAAAATTACTGAAGAAGAGATTGCTGTCAGTGCTAGGAGCTTTGCTGTTGTTGTTTTCCTGGCTTGCTTTTACAAACAGCTCTCCAATTCCCTGCAACATATACAGATGTGTATTTGTATTTACATAAAAAATAAAACATGTGCAGACTTGTATATCGCAGTACATACTTAGAAAAACATACTAACTTTTCCAATGTTACTTTGCCTATCTATAACATATTTATTATATTCTTAAATATATA